TTAAAATTAATCAAATTAATTTTTATCAGAGAAAACAAAGTACCAATGAATGAAATACAAATTACTGAAATTATAATTAAAAACATCCAAAATCAAATTATATTCGTTTTTAAAATTCAATTTAACTCAAAAAATTAAATTGATTTAACAAAGACATTTTATTTATTATTCTTCATTTAATACGTTATTTATCAATATTCATACACATATCATTTGAATATTTTTCACATTTAACTTATTCTTCATTCTCTTAAACATTCTCTTTTATTTTGAATAACTATATTAAATGAATATCAATTTATCATTTATTAAATACATTTGGTCTTATTTTATTCACCATTTCTTCTTCTATATCATTAATATTGTATTTTTATGTAAAACAGTTTGTAAATTTGAATAAAAAAGTGAAAATCATTTCATTAAATATTTATTTTGTATCTGTTTCATTATTAATTCATTCTTATATGTTTTAAATTCTTCATTTTTTATGTTTATACTATCATTTGAATTTCATTTTTATTTTCTTCATATTTCATCGTTCTTCTAATTTAATTTTCTTTTTTATTTATTTGATTGTAGTAATATCATTTTTCACATTTGTTATACTGATTTAATATCATTTAATATTGAAAATAAATAGAAATAATGAATAATGAAAGTAATGATTGTTTTATAAGATTATTACATTGAACTACTATCATTTGTTATCTTTTTTTATAAATATTTTTATTTGTTCAATAAATTCATAATAATTTGATAATAATATGATAATTGATGAAAAATAAGAATAAATAATCAATTATCAAATTTGATTGTTTTAACTGATATAATCAAATGAAGAAATTTAAGTTATTGAATATAAAATTGATGTTAAATAAAGAATATCAAGAAAATTCACATTATATTAAAATAAATAATCAAAATAATGTGTTGAAATTGAATATTGATATTATCTTAATTCAATATATGAATGTCAAATAATACAAAATAAATGTAAAATTGAAAATGAAACATATTATCAATATGAAGAATGATATGTCAAAGAAAATGAGAATAACAATAAATGAATAAAACAGAAAGAAATTAATGGTTAAAAAATTCAAAATGATATAAAATCAAAATAATAAATGTGATAAAAAAATAAAGAATAATAATATGAAAGAAATGAATGTGTTTCATATTCAAATTAATATACATTAAACAATGAGCATTTAAAATAAAAATAAAAATGAAAGAATGAGAAATATACTATGAAAAAGAAAATACATCAAGAATAAACAATGTATAAAATGTACAAAAACATCAATATACAATTCAGATGATATTTAAATAAAATATAAATATAATCAACAATTAGATAATAAATGTATAAATGAAATATCTGAAGAATGAATGATAAAATACTAAAATACTAAAATTGAATAACATTAATTCATATTGTTCAAATAAAACATATGTTAATATGAAATATTTTGAATGTTGAATTAAATATTCACATAATATAAAGAAGAATATAATAATACAACAATAGAAAATATGAAGAATAAAATAGACATGAATATAAATGATATTTAGATAGATATTATTTAACAATAAATATAAAATGTTGAGAATATGATGATAAATATAAAACATGTTATGATTCAAATAAATATTGTATGAATTATTCCAATGATAAATATTTAAGAAATGATAAAACATATCAATCAAATAAAGAAATAAATGGAAATATTTACAATGAAATAAACAAATAAATAAAAGAAAAATTCATTTATTTTATTTAATTCATCATTATTTCATTTGGTTTTATTACTATCCACTACTTTTAAGAAATGAAATAGAAAATACAAATATTATTTCAAAAAATGAAAATAATTACAAAAATATCATTTAATAAAATTAATCAACAAATGATTTAATCCATTTCTTATTTCTTGTTATTTCTTTATTCTTGAATTATATCCATTTATTTGATTCTCATTTATATTTACTCTTATTGTTTATTTTCTTTCATCTATCCCAATTCGTTCTTTCCATTCTTTAATAAAACTTTTTGCGTCAAAATTTACTTCTGCCCATTCTGGTATTTCAGCAATCCAATCATGTGAATTAAATGAATATTTCCATGCATGTAACCAAATTTGTTCTTCTATAGGATCACCTTTAGGGAAATTACAATCTTTACAATCTTTATCAAAAACCCATCCATACTTTTCTCTCCATTTATTTTCACGATTAATTTCTCCATCTTGTTGTCTGTAATTATGGATTTGATTTAATAAATAAGCAGAGTCATTTGCAATTGGATGATGAATTGCTTTGAGATGAAGTCTTAATTGATGTGTTCTTCCTGTATGAGGCACACATTCAATAACACTTGTATTACTGTCTTTATCGAAAAAAAGTCTTTTGAAACTACTTCTAGCTTCAATACCATCTTCACAAATACAACTTTGGGATTCTGTCCCAAAACGAACCAAATGTAAAGGAAGATTCACTTCAATCGTGTCTGGAAAATATCCAACTACTCTAGCTAAATAAATCTTTTGAAGTGAAGAAGTAGATGAAATAACAGATGACTTTTCTTTTAAAATTGATTGAAAGGAAGAAGCAAATATTTTAGTTTTTGCAAAGAGAAGAATGCCACTTGTATTTTTGTCTAAACGATAAACAGGTTTTAAATGAGAAAAGTGATATTCATTAAGAAGGATATTAATGATGCAATTTTGGTTATATCTTCCAGTTGGATGAACAGGAATTCCAGATGGTTTATTAATAACAAGATACTCATTTGTATTTTCTATTATTTGAATTTCTTTAATTGGAACAGGAGGTTCATGTAAATGACATTTACTAATTAAAATGTCATGTTCTTCAATAACAGAATTTATTGTTGTTTCTTTTTTTATTCCATTTTTATTGATTAAATATGTTATTTCTTCTTTTATTTGGTTTTGCTATTGTTGTTATTTTGTGTTTGTGTTATTCATATTGTTATTGTTTTAACAAACTATCTCTTCTTTTGAAATGTATTTAAATTCACTTCTATAAATCTCTCCAATACTTTTTCCTATCCATCTACCTTTTACATTCACTTGAAATTCTTTATAATAAGGAATGACTCTTCTAAATCCATCTTCAAAGAAATAAATTTGTTGATGTGTTATTTCTTTCATTTCTTATTTTGTTGTTTTTTTAAAATATTAAAAAATATTAAATGAACTGAAAAAGAAATAAAAAGTAGTTCAATTGAAATGATGATAATATTCTCTGTATTCTAATCATTTTATAAATGAAGTGCAGACAATAATGTTCCAAAGATATCTGATCTATTGAAATAATGAAT